GGTGTATTCTTTATAAAAATCAATGGTTTTATTTAAGAAGTCTGTCTAAATAAAAATGTAAGTTTTTATTAATATATTTGGTTTATCATGGCTGGTGAAATTTTATTTCCTAGGCTTTGAAAAGAAAAGAGAGAAAAGAGTAAGAATGCCTGCCACATGATGAATAAAAGGTTTTGTGGGTTYAACAGATACATTTTCATCAGACTGAAAGTGGTTGATGAATTCATAGACGAAAACTGAACAAAACAGGTTTTTTTATTTCTTGACTTTGTGTTTCTTATTGAAACCGACCTTGTGCTTCACAATACGTTTTGTGGAGTGCCTTCGTGTTTCTTTTCTTTATTTGTAGGTTTGCTTTGTGTGTGTGTGTGTGTGTGTCTTGACTCGCCGGGGACTCTGAACAGAAGCACATCGGTGTGACGGAGCCCCTCGACAGGCAGCTGGACCTTGACCTGTACCTGGGTGTTCACGCAGGTGAAAATCAGCGAGCGCACGCTGCTCTTTGTGTGCGGCTGAGGCTGTGAATACGGCAGGCATTCAGTGAACAGAGCCACAGTTCTTTGGCTGTGGCCCAAGGCCTTCAAGGCCCAATGTGTGCATACGGGGGTCTCAGCTGTACAGCGAGATAGCAGTGCCTATCTTGCTCTCTGCTGCTGGATTCCTCTGATTGTCTACTTGTGACTCCCTGCCTCTTCACTCTTTCAGGCTTTGTGTTCACAGCAATAAAACAGCTTTCAAAAGAAAAAGAAATATTCACTGAAGAAAATAACCTGAAATAAAAGCCTGTGCATAATCATGTCAATGTAAATGCACAGCTGAGCTTAGAACAAACACATAAATCAGAAGATATGCCTGTTTTTATAGTATTGATCTTTTTCTGCTTTTTGTCAGCCTTAACAATTTGTTGCCTTCTTTTTGAACACTAGACAATCATTTTTAATATTAATCTTAAACATAACCTTCACTTAAACCCACTCAATGGTAAATCATGAACCAAGAGCCAGAAGTAGCCCTCTGTCCACATCATGCTGGTCCTTGATGTCATCAAACAAACAAAAACAAAAAAAAAAAAGGAAAAACACATTTTAATATGTAATCTTAAGAAAAGTTATGACAACTCAGGAAATTGCCTATCAGAATATACATTTTAACTAAAAACAGGCCTAAGCTTTATTTTTTATTTTTTAAATGTGTGCAAAAAATAAAATGGTGCTTAAAAAAGGGGGAGAAAAAGCTCCAAATGTTATATTTTAAACAATTATATCAGCTCTCCCAGGTGTAACATGACTTAAAGTATGTTTAGTCTGCTAAGGCTATGTTAAAGGAACATCGAATAAAAAAAAAAACTTTTTTTCTCAATAATTTTTAGAAGAGTATCAATGAGAAAAAAATGTAGCGAAACAATGATTTTTGCTCTTGGTGTGTATTTTTGCCGATGGTTTTTCTAAGATGGATTCAGGTAGCATACTTACAACTCAACGTGTGGCCAGTCTCTTAAACAAAATAGAAGTCCCACTAATATAAAGAGTAAAAAAAAGCCCATTATTGTAATATTCCTGGCTCTTATTTTAATAATTGGATTGACGATGATGTACGATGACTTGAAACCATCCAGACGGTTCCGGTGTGGAAGGTAACCTTGTCACCACCAGAGAGCAGACTGCTGCTTTCTTTGTYACATCTTTGTCATAATTATCCAGAAGGTTTCAGTTTTTCTATTAAAGACTTATCTCCTCAAAGGTGAACCCTTATTCCTTAAACTTTTTATATAATTGTACTGAAATGCTTCTTGTTTGGAAAAGTCCTGTGCTTTTTTTTTTATATAGTTAGGCTATTTTAATAAATCAACAAAATCCGCTGATATTATAAAAGCCAGTGCTGGGGGAAGTGCAGCCTGTGTAACGAAAATTTTAATCCAAATTTTGAGATAAGCAGTTCTAATGTATTTAAAATAAGCAGGGGAAAAATGCTATCTTCTTTATTCTAAGGTTTTACCAAAGAGCAAACAAGCAGATAGAGTTGATGCTGTTTGCAGAGCAGTAGGTGTGTTTGAATTACAGACCGGTGCAAATACGCTGCACTGTAACAGAAATGTTGATTATTTTATTGTCTTTTCTAGCTTCTGGTTCAACACAGTGACACGACATAAAAAGTGAGCAAACAGTTYGGATCATCTTTACACAAGAAGCCAGCTGCTTCTTTTTCTCTCTCAAACCAAAATGTTTAATTTGCCTTCACGATCTTTACTTTTATTTCAATTTTCTAATAATTRAGTGAAACGTTGTCATCCCAGCCTGCCACTCAGAACCAAAGTCAACTATCAAGCGGCCCACTTTGATAACTTTAATTTTTCTGCGGCATTGTTCACCTGTCAGGAGATAATTACACAGCCTAATCTCCTCATAGTTACACAAGTGTACAGCACAATCAGCACGGGYGGGAATTCTCAACAACTTGTATCTGTATAATGAGTCATAATAAGCTTCTAACACAAGTCTAAATATTATCTGGGTGGGTGCTTGTGGTTTGAGCAGTGGGTGTATGGCGAGAAAGCTTTCCTCTTTCTGTTTGGAGGAAAAACTCCACATGGCTTAAATCTTTGGCTTTTGTTTTCTTTTTTCAAAGTCTGCCGTTTGCATTGAGCTATACCTGACTGCTTATCTGGGCGTGCCCTGGCCCTGGTAATCTGCGAGTGCAAACATTTTGAATAATGTAATAATCTGTTTAATAGAGCAGCAAAGGAGAGGCTTAACAAACAACGGCTATCTGATTGCTGCTGCGCTGCCATCGACAACCATTGCGTGACCAGTCCAGCTATTAAAGCTTTGGGCCTCCAAACCGTCAAAATACTTCATGTTTGACTGGATTAAAGTATAAGTTTTATTTGTTTTTGGAAAATGCATAGTAAATAAAATAATTATTGCTAAAAAWTTAAAGAAGTTACATTTATTCGCTTCTTCTATTTCAGCTTACTCCATTCAGTCAGGCTGTCATCAGCTTATTTTTTTTCATTTTTTCCTCCCTTTCCCAAACAATAACCGTCACTTTCCATCCACCGCTTCACTCCTGCCTCGCAGTGAGTCGGAGTAATTTGTAACCACGCGTGTCTAAGAGTCTGACAACTGTTTACACGTACAAGTGATAGGTGTGTCGCAGCCGCTGAAAAGGCCCCGTGTTCGACTGCTGAACTTCGAGTTAAAGGTTACCATTTCCAGCATCTCTGCACAAAAGGTCTKGTTTGTTGTTCTGTGAATGCGCTTTGTAACAATAGGCTGAATTATACTTGATGGAGAAGCGCTTCGGTTCCTCTGCTGCATCKGAATCAGCGTCTGTGTCATCTTTTTGCATAAACAAGTGGCGTTTTATTATTATTTCTTTTAC